TGGATGGAGGCATCCAAGACACCAGAATCCCAACAAGTGTTTTCAAATAAAAGAGAGGCAGGAGAGCAGAGAAGGTGTCTCCATCTCTCGCTCTCCTTCATTGTACAAGTCTGTATGGCTTGAGCAGAAGGTTTTCATTTCATAATGCTCTTAGTTTATTTTAAATGCAAAATACATTTATCATCTGAGCTCTACTGATCTGGGATCACCTCAGGAGGTTTAGGTGTAAAACTTCTATTGGAATGCTCAAAATAAAAAAACATAATAAAAATATGTGAAATGTGACATTTTTTACAAAAGAAAATGAGTGATTGTGTGAGTTTTTACGACATCTACAACTGATAAACTTTTTTTTGCGTTAGCCTGATTCAAGGTGGTGGCATGGTGGTGCAGCTGGTAGAGCGAGAAGGTTGCTGGATCAAATCCCTCCTTTCTGAGTGGAGTTTGCATGTTCTTTCCGTGTATGCGTGGGTTTTCTCCGGGTACTCCGGTTTCCTCCCACAGACCAAAAACATGCATGTTAGGCTGATGGTAACTCTAAATTGTCCCTAGATGTGAGTGAGAGAGTGAATGGTTGTTTGTCTCTATGTGTCCCTGTGATGGACTGGAGACATGTCCAGGGTGTCCCCCGCCTCTCACACAATGACTGATGGACATGGGCACCAGTGACCCCCTCCACCCAGAAAGGAAGCAGCAGATTAAAAATTGATGGATGGATAGATTCAAGGTGACTGACACAGCCCAAACATAAAAACGTCCATAACTGTCAATTTTGCAAATATTGACCAAATGTAGGTGCATGAGCTACGACTAATCGCACATTCTGAGCGCTAACAGAGTTGCTTTTACAATTATCTATTTGGCGTCAACTGAGTAAATCCTCTCAAGAAACACTGAGCAAATTATGATAAAATCTTGAGGAAATAATGGCTGGATGTACATCTACCTGTTTACCTTTGAGAGCCTATTCAATATGGCTGCCACAGCTACCTGACTTTAGTAAACCCAAGAGTGCTATAGTCTGGTTAGTTTAACAGATATGTAGCTGAACTTTGGCATGGTTATAGCTGAGAGTCATTCAAAACACATTCTTCAAACAAATGGCACCAGCAGCAAAGAGATGCAGCACTTCCAGGGGTCCTGGCAGGACTTACTGAATCTGCTTAAAAAAATCTCAATTTGAAATGTAGTGAGTGTAAAGCAGGGGATCTTTGGGGGTCACTATCCTGCATGGAGTGTTTCAACACTCCTGATTTGAGTGAAAAGATGACCAACAGGCTGAAGAGGTCATCACTGAATCTGGTGGCCCTGAAGGTCCAGGACTGGACTTGTTCAAACAAGTGGTTTGAATGTTTGACTAATGCCATTCTCCTGGACCGCCATGAACTGGGGGAGATTTAGAGTTTGGGAATTTGAGACTGGAGCTGGTGTTTTTACATCTACATTTGTTTGGACTCACTGTTAGCGCGGTGGTCCAGTGGCACGTGAGGCCATTCAAGAAGCTCATTTCAACAAGATGTGAATTACTGATGACTTTTATACACTTTAACATGTTCAAACTAATCCTTGTATGCGTGTATGCGTGTGTGTGTGTGTGTGTGTGTGTGTGTGTGTGTGTGTGTGTGTGTG